TCTGTCACCTAGGCTGGAGTACAGTGGCAGGATCTCGGCTCACTGCAACCTCCGCCTTCTGGTTTCAAGCAATTCTTCTGCCTCAGCCTCCCAAGTAGCTGGGATTACAGGTGCCACCAATACTCTGTGCTAATTTTTGTATTTTTAGTAGAGAATGAGTTTCACCATGTTGGCCAGGCTGCTCTCGAACTCCTGACATCATGATCCACCCACCTCAGCCACCCAAAGTGCTGGGATTACAGGCATGAGCCACCACACCCAGCCAAGATTTTTATGTTTCAAAGAAAACTAAATATCTGGGGAAATACCATTCAAAGGGCAGCTTAACATGTTTCCCTGCTGCTTGGGCCGCAGTGAAGACAGATGCAGCAAGTGCGTCTGATTTCTGTGTCTGGTCTCTGTGTGGGCGCACACATCCATGCAGTTTAAATGAGACTGGAGACTCCTGCAGCATTGGTGGGGCCTTGCTTTGTTCCGCTCCTGGTGCTAAGACAACGTGGAACAGAGGACAAGGTGTCTTCTCTTAAAAATCAAAGATTGCTTCCTGCTAGAAGTGCCTGGACTCCTGCAGTAATTCCCAGGGGGCCTCTCCACGGAATCCAGAGGAGAAAGGATCCAGGCTACCGGCTCCACAATCAACTTCATAAATTTCTGAAGTCATTGACCTATTGTAATTTTAGCGTTATCTCAAATTATACACAATATTATCTCAACTAATGTCTAAAACAAAATAGCACAGAGATATATAAAGGACACAGCTGAAAAAATAGTCTCAAATAAAAACGCCTGAAACAATAGTCTCAAATCACCTCCCCACACCACATGCTTTCTCTGGAGCCCTGGTGTGGGAGACTCTGAGGGAGGGAGCGTGGAAGGGATGAGAAGGGACCAGGGGCCTGGGATTGAGCTGGGAAGGGAACCACAAGCAGGAGGTGCAGGGCAGGAGCTGTCAGCTGTGACTCAGGGAAGGCTCCTGGGCCTCAGGCTCTTCCCTCTGTGGCCACCAGGGGGCGACGCGGGCCTGCACTTGGGAGGTCCCTGCTGGGCTTCACCCTGGGTGTGGGGTCCCAGGAGTTCTTTCCTCCTGAGTCCCCCTAAAGAGACAGAGGTAGTCTGGGGTCTTAAATCCTTCGTGCCCAAATCAATGTATTTCTAGAAGGGCCAATAAATAAACCCCATGTTTATTCAGCAGCAGCTTCAGGCCACTTCAGACACAGAGGGCAGAGCAAGGTGTGAGGATCCAGCTGAAATGAGGAGGCCTAGAAGGGCTGAGGGGGAGTGAGGGGCCCTGAGGGGCCTGTGGTCCCTGGGAAGGGGAGTACAGGGGTCTGTCCCAGACACTCTGGGCCCCGTCCTCACACTGAACCCACACAGAAGGGAAGGGAAGTTCTGGGACTCTGCAGCTGGGATCACCATGAAACCCAGGTCAAGAAGGAGAGGGACCCCCAAGCCTGGCTCCATTTCCCGGGCACCGTCACAGGCTCAGTCTCAGGAAATCCATGTCTGGGAGTTTTAATCCCCTCGGCTGAGTCTTGATGTTCAGGAAAGAAGAAGTCTCCGAGCCCAGGCCCAGGCGAGGTGGGGTGAGGAGGGGAGCTCAGGACGCAGATTTGCATGGAGGCCCCACCCCCCTCTGAGGCAAAAGAGATGAGACAGGCTGGGGTCATGCCCAGTTCTGGGGTCTCAGGAGGCAGCGCTCCCGGGAAGTCTTCACCATGGCCTGGACTCTGCTCCTCCTCACCCTCCTCACTCAGGGCACAGGTGACACCTCCAGGGAAGGGGACTCAGGGACCTCTGGGCTAATCATTGGTCTCCTGCTCCTCAGGCTCACCTGGGCCCAGCACTGACTCACTAGAGTGTGTTTCTTCCTCTTTCCAGGGTCCTGGGCTCAGTCTGCCCTGACTCAGCCTCGCTCAGTGTCCGGGTCTCCTGGACAGTCGGTCACCATCTCCTGCACTGGAACCAGCAGTGATGTTGGGTATTATAATGCTGTGTCTTGGTACCAGCAGCACCCAGGCACAGCCCCCAAACTCATGATTTATTATGTCAGCAATCGGCCCTCAGGGGTCCCTAATCGCTTCTCTGGCTCCAAGTCTGGCAACACGGCCTCCCTGACCATCTCTGGGCTCCAGGCTGAGGACGAGGCTGATTATTACTGCAGCTCGTATGGAGGCAGCTACACTTTCCACAGTGGTCCAGGTTCATGGGGAACTGAGACCAAAACCTGTCCTGAGCTCTCAGGCTCCCTCCTTGCTCTGAAGATGCTTCCTCACCCTGTGCAAGGGGCTTCCTGCATCGCTGCCTTGAGAGTTCCCCTCTCAGCCCCTCTCCTGTCCCCTCATGAAGTCCAAAAGTGAACCTGCTCTGTGGCTTCTCATCCAGGACAGAGACAGCTTCCTTTTGCTTGTGTGCTGTGCTCCCTGAAAGTGCTACTCTTCCTAGCTCTTTAAATGCAGGGACAGTGACAATGAGCTGCCTGATTGGCAGTCCCTGCTGTTTTCAGGAACATCCTCATCCTAAATGCATCTGAATCTCCCACTCTGTGCAGACCAATCTGTACAGACATTATTACGGGAGTTTCCAAAAACCACATCTCACTCAACTCTGTGTCCACCACACTCTAGTGAAGATGGCCCTCCTGGCTGGGTTATTCTCTGCAACTCTGTGCTGAAGCAGTGAGCACTGTCAGAAAATCTGAAGATGTGTCTGCGGGATTAAGAAGAAAGAGGAATCTGAGGTTTTTGCTTGTGCGTTTGTTTGTTTGTTTTTACTGCCCTTTCACTTTTCCCCAGTACCTCAGGCTGGGGAGATTTTGAGTGACAGGCTCAGTGTTCTCTCAGAATAAACCCTCCCCTCACATCACTGAGCCCTTGTCCTGGCAGCCCCCTGCAAGCCCCTTTAGGTAATAGGGACTGTGGAGTGACATGTTGCAGGAAGCCCCACCTCCCCCCATAGAATGGGAGTTTGCAAAATGGTTATACAGGGAAGGGTTAACCTGAGTCCACCCTCTTTCCTCATTTACATCAAGAATTTCTAGTTTCCATGGGTGTCAATACTTTTGTAACTCAACCCGCTATTAATCTACTAATAGTGATAATTAATGTAGGAAATAGACAAGAGCTGGGGTCAATATTTATTCTTATATTTGTATCTGTTAGATATAGCTATTAGCATATATAGCTTATGCTTCTTAAACTTCAATTAAATAGATTGTATTAAAAACGAGGTAATCACTTTACTATATGCATACCCTTTAACATCATATTGTATACCTGAAAGATACACACTAAAATTTATTTCACAAACCAAATTGTATTCATGGGCCAAGAAGACCTAATAGACAGCAACAGCACTCTCCACCCCAAATCAACAGAATATACATTGTTCTCAGCACCTTATCACACTTATTCTAAAATTGACCACATAATTGGAAGTAAAACACTCCTCAGCAAATGCAAAAGAATGGAAATCATAACAAACAGTCTCTCAGACCAGTGCAATCAAATTAGAGCTCAGGATTAAGAGACTCATTCAAAACTGCACAACTACATGGAAACTGAACAACCTGCTCCTGAATGACTACTAGGTAAATAATGAAATGAAGGCAGAAATAAAGATGTTCTTTGAAACCAGTGAGAACAAAGGCCCAAAGTACCAGAATCTCTGGGACACATTTAAAGCAGAATGTAGAGGAAAATTTATAGCACTAAATGTCCAAAAGAGAAGGCAGGAAAGATCTAAGATTGACACTCTAACTTTACAATTAAAAGAACTAGAGAAGAAAGAGCAAACAAATTCAAAGGCTAGAAAAAGACAAGAAATAATTAAGATCAGAGCAGAACTGAAGGAGACAGAGACACAAAAAACCCTTCAAAAAATGAATGAATCCTAGAGCTGGTTTTTTTTTTTAAAAGATCAACAAAATAGATAGACCATTAGCCAGATTAATATAGAAGAAAAGAGAGAATAATCACATAGACACAATGAAAAATGACAAAGGGGATATCACCACTGATCCCAAAAAAATACAAACTACCATCAGAGAATACTATAAACACCTCTACGCAAATAAACTAGAAAATCTAGAAGACATTGATAAATTTCTGAACACACACACACTCCCAAGTCTAAACCAGCAAGAAGTTGAATCCCTGAATAGACCAATAAAAAGTTCTAAACTTGAGGCAGTAATTAATAGCCAAGCAACCAAAAGAAGTCCAAGACCAGATGGATTCACAGCTGAATTCTACAAGAGGTACAAAGAGGAGCTGGTACCATTTCCTCTGAAACTATTCTAAACAATAGAAAAAGAGGGAATCCTCCCTAACTCGTTTTATGAATCCAGCAGCATTCTGATACTAAAACCTGACAGAGATACAACAAAATCAGAAAATTTCAGACCAATATCACTGATGAACATCGATGCAAAAACCCTCAATAAAATAATGGCAAACCGAATCCAGCAGCACATCAAAAAGCTTATCCACCACAATCAAGTTGGCCTCATCCCTGGGATGAAAGGCTGGTGCAACATAGGCAAATCAATAAACATAATCCATCACATAAACAGAACCAGTAACAAAAAACACGTGATTATCTCAATAGATGCAGAGAAGGCCTTTGACAAAATTCAACACCACTTAATGCTAAAAACTCTCAATAAGGGGGAATGTGAGGAAGATGGCCAACTAGGAACAGCTCAGGATTGCAGCTCCCAGTGAAAGTGCAGAGGGAGAGTGGACGCCGCATTTCCAGACAGATTTTGATTGCCGACAGACGAGGAGATTCCCAGGCGGAGGAGCCCCACGGGTTGCCAGCGAGGCTGTTTTGGCCCAAGTGGCTGCTTGCCAGCACCTGGCGCAGCAGTTCTCTGTACAAAATACACTGGTCCGGGTGTCCTCTTAGCTGGCAATTGGAGCCCTGGGAAGGCAGATCACCCATTCATCTGATTTAAAAGGGGACCGAAATAGGGAGCCAGGCCAGGAGATTCCTGGGCAAAAAACCCGCCAGGAATCTCAGTGACACTGTTTCAGCTGGCACAGTGAGTCACCGCACAGGAAATCACACAGATCCCAGTGCCTTTTCAACAGGCAACTGGAACACCTGGGAGAGAGTCGACCATTCAACTCAAACAACAAAAAAAAAAAAGACTCTAAGTCAGGGAGCCAGGTGATCAGGTTCAGCTGGTCCCACCCCCCCTGCAAAAAAAAAAAACAAAAACACCAGTAATTGAAAATGCTCTGGGTTGAGAGTTTCACAGCAAGCACAGCTGAACCCCGGATGGTCCAGCTCTATGGGGGAGGGGCGTCCGCCATTAGTGAGGCACTCCACCACTACGGAGGCAGTCCTCCATTGCTGAGGCAGCCCATCATTGCCAAGGCAAACTGCCACTACAGAGAGAGTCCGCCATTACAGAGGTGGGCCACCATTGCCAAGGCAGTTCTAACTACACCCATATAAACAGGACTGCAGGGAAGATCACATGGCAGCTGGGAGGAGCCCACAGCAGCTCAGCAAAGCCTCTGCAGGCAGACAGTGACTAGGCTGCCTCCTCACTGGGCAGAGCAGCCCTGAAAAAAAAAAAAGGCAGCAGCACAACGGAAACTCATAAATAAAGCCCTTACTCCCTGGGACAGAGCACCTGGGAAAATAAAAAAGGGAGTTTACGAGTTCTGCTGCAGCAGACCTAAATGTACCTGCCCAGCAACTCTGAATGAACAACAGAGCTCACAGCTCAGCACTTGAGTGCCAATAAAGGACAGACTATCTCCTCAAGCAGCTCCCTGACCCTCGTATATCCAAAGAGTCACCTCATAAAGGAGAGCACAGACTGACATTGTCCCAGAATAACCTTCTGGGACAAAGATAGCAGAAGAAGAAACTATAGCAACCCTTACTGTTCTGCAGCTGCTGCAGGTGATCTCCAGGCAAGCAGGGCCTGGAGTGGACCTCAGCAGTCCTACAGCAGAGGGGCCAGACTGTTGGAAGGAAAACTAAGAAACAGAAATAACTTCATCATCCACAAACTGGAAGTTCACTCAGAGACCCAATCTGAAAGTCAGCAACT